GACTGTCTGATAGCCAATAGCTAGACAGACTGACTGTCTGATAGCCAAAAGCTAGACTGACTGACTGTCTGATAGCCAATAGCTAGACTGACTGACTGTCTGATAGCCAATAGCTAGACAGACTGGCTGTCTGATAGCCAATAGCTAGACTGACTGACTGTCTGATAGCCAATAGCTAGACAGACTGTCTGATAGCCAATAGCTAGACTGACTGACTGTCTGATAGCCAATAGCTAGACTGACTGACTGTCTGATAGCCAATAGCTAGACTGACTGACTGTCTGATAGCCAATAGCTAGACTGACTGACTGTCTGATAGCCAATAGCTAGACTGACTGACTGTCTGATAGCCAATAGCTAGACTGACTGACTGTCTGATAGCCAATAGCTAGACTGACTGACTGTCTGATAGCCAATAGCTAGACTGACTGACTGTCTGATAGCCAATAGCTAGACTGACTGACTGTCTGATAGCCAATAGCTAGACTGACTGACTGTCTGATAGCCAATAGCTAGACTGACTGACTGTCTGATAGCCAATAGCTAGACTGACTGACTGTCTGATAGCCAATAGCTAGACTGACTGATTGTCTGATAGCCAATAGCTAGACAGACTGACTGTCTGATAGCCAATAGCTAGATTGACTGACTGTCTGATAGCCAATAGCTAGACTGACTGACTGTCTGATGGGCAATAGCTAGACTGACTGACTGTCTGATGGCCAATAGCTAGACTGACTGACTGTCTGTCTGTCATTGATTGAAAATTATGAGATGGTGCCATGAAAGAATTGATAGAAACTTCTGAATCAGGATTTAATGAAGTTAAAAATTTGATGCATATGATGATTAATTGTATTTTTGTCTTTTTTGAAGCTCCTCAGTGAGACTGGACTTCTGAAGGGCCTGCCCCATGCAAATGAGGTGAAAGTTTGGCTGAGTCATCTGTGTCACAGTCAGTTTGAAGGACACATGGAGACACTTTTGAGGTTTCTAGATGAAGTATTTACCGCAGTAGTTACTGAGCCATACTTGTACTCAGACGCTGTAATCGACTTGCAAGCTGAAGCAGTTTCACATGAGGCAAGTGCTGTGCAGTTTAGTTTGGACTTGACAGAGTGGACTCGGTCTTCTGATTCAAGGTTTGACTAGATTCCTTTGATTTAAAAAAAAGTTATTTAAAAACAGTTTACTCTTTGGCTCTTATAAAGGTGTTTTTTAACTTGATCATTTGGTTATGACTGTGTAATAGCTCTTATTTTCCTTTGTTCGTTTTGTCTGTTTTTGTTTTGTTTTTGTTGGTTTTTTTTTTTTTTTCTTGTGGCAAGATACAGATGTAGTATATGTATTGTATGATAATAACTTAAAAATGTACCAGGAAAATTAATTTGAACCAAGGGTAAAAAAATTAACCGCATCAAATGTTTCCAAGGTCATCTTTTCTCTTACCTGTAGCTCAGCTTATAGTGAGACATATGAGCAAGATGATAATACCATAGCTCTTTTTCAGCCTTCTGTCTTCTTGATTTGGACTGGTAA